CTCCTTATGTCCGTGGGAAACTGTTACAAGTGTAAACCAAACTCGCTTCCAACCAGCCAACGTTCGTCGGCGGCAAGAAGCGGAAGCATGACAGACGCAGTTCGGTTCCAACACAACACTAACTGAGGGAGCCGTGTGGCCCCCTGTTTAATATAGAGCCGCACTTCCAGACATCAGGCCACCAGGGGACCTTGTGGCGCTACATGCTAGCCAGGAATATAACAGTCCTCCCCTCTAAGGTACAAAGACAAGCAACAGCTAAGGGGAGTACCGCTGCATGGCCCTCCTAGTCCTTGTGCTACGGCGCAGCTGGGGTAGACTGATGCTTGTAGGATGAGGAGTTACCCCAGTGCTTGCAACACTGTCGCTTGCACCCACGCTTGTTTCGCCTGGCTCGAACAGAGTGCCGGGAGCACCAGCAGATTCACTCGTATTTAATCCTTGCGCTTCCAACTGCACTGCAGCACCAACAGGTTGACACGTCTCTGCCCCGGTCGTAGCTGCTGTAGGGGCGTCGGTCGGTCTGGAACGCAGGTGATCACCGTGCCGATGCCACAGTGTGCCATCTTCAAGGCAGACTTGCGCTGAAGATTGACTTGTGGCGCCGACGACCCAGGGCATACCCTGGCGGAAGTTCCTGGCGAACACGTTCTCCTCAGGGTTGAGCGGCGGTCCCTGTTGGCAGCCTTTATCAGTATACAGTTTGTTTTAGCTGCTTGAGCAGCACTGATGATTGGAGGCTGGGACGCAGGACATCCAACGGCGTCTTGAACATCCTTCCCGTCAACAACTCGCATGGTGCTCTGCCCGTGACCTCGTGCGGAGTAGTCCTGTAATGAAACAGGGATATGGAAATCCGAGTCTGAAAATCCCCAGAGCCACTTTTATTGAGTTTGTTCTTCACGGTTTGTACAACACGCTCCGCTGCCTCGTTTGACGCTGGATGATATGGCGGCACGAGCATGCGGCGCACCCCGTTGCATGTTAGAAAGTCCAAGTACTGCTCACTTGCAAATGCAGGCCCATTGTCTGACCCAATCAGATCTGGCAGACCGTGCTGAGCGAAGGCCATTTGCAGGGCTGTTATGGTAGCCTCTGCAGAAGCTGACGAGACAGGAAACACTTCGACCCATTTTGAAAAAGCATCCACAATGACCAAAAAGGTATGCCCCATAAATGGCCCTCCAAAATCAATGTGAAGCCTGGACCAAGGCTTCTGGGGGAACGGCCAGGGCGTCTGTTGAACTGGTTGTGGAGCCCGCTGATGAGCTTGGCAAATCGAGCAGCTCTTCACATGGTGGGTTATGTCGTTATCGATACCCGGCCACCAGACGTGACTTCTGGCGATCATTTTGCTCTTCTCGATGCCTGGGTGGCTGGAATCAAGCAGACCCAGGACTCGAGCCTGCAGCACTTTTGGGATCACCACGCGTGCTCCCCCGAGCAAACAACCCTCATGCAGGCTAAGCTCTGAACTCCTTGCACAAAAAGGGCTCGTGTCTGATGCTAGTGCAAGGTTCTCTCCTCTGAGAACAGCGAAAACGACATGTCCCAGAACAGGGTCATTCTTTGTGGCTTGAGCCACAACGGAGGGTGAAAGAAGATTCGGATATGCATGCTGTAGCATGAAGACGTCAGCCGGCACGTTCTCTTCAACGTTGCTCCCAGGTAATGGAAGTCTACTGAGTGCGTCAGCATGACTTAAATTCCTTCCTGGTTTGTAGGTCAGCTGGTACTTGTACGCTGAAAGCTTGAGAGCCCACCTGACAAGCCGAAGTGACGCGTGGACAGGAACTGGCTTGTCAGCACTCAGCAATCCCAGCAGCGGCTTCTGGTCTGTGAAAGCTTGAAAAGGGGTCCCCCACAAGTACTGGTGGAACCGTTCCACCCCGTAGACCAAGCCTAATGCCTCTTTGTCAAGTTGACTGTAGTTTTGTTCTGCTCGGGACAAACTCCTTGATGCAAAAGCAATGGGTCGCTCTTGGCCATCGGCTTCACGGTGCGCCAGAACTGCACCGATCCCGTATGGTGATGCATCACAAGTTAGACACACCGGCTTCTCTGGATTGAAATGAGCTAGAACCGGAGTGGACGTCATCAAGTGCTTGATTGTGGTAAAAACCTCTTCTTGGTCTTTTCCCCACTCCCACTTCTTCCCGTCAGTAAGAAGCAAGTGCAGTGGCCGCAGGCGTTCAGACAGGTTAGGAAGGAAACGTCTGTAGAAATTAATCAATCCTAGGAAGCTCTGAAGCTGCTTGACGTCGCGAGGAGCAGGAGCATGAAGTATGGCCGCGACTTTGCCGAGGCCTGGAGACAACCCTTCCTGGTTGATAATGTGCCCAAGGTATTCAACCTGCGGCACAAAAAAATGACACTTGTCGAACTTCAACTTCAGACCGACATCAAAAAGGCGCTTGAGAACGGAACGAAGGTTGTGCAGATGATATGAGTCAGTCGCGCCGGTGACCAGGATGACATCAAAATACACAGCGACGTGCGGCAGCCCTCGGAACAAGTTTTCCATCTCCCTTTGGAAGATAGCCGGAGCGGACGACACTCCGAAAGGAAGGCGGGTGTACTGGAACAACCCCATATGTGTGGAAATGGTGACATACTTTCTAGAGTCCTGCTCAAGAATCACTTGCTGGTAAGCATCCCTCAGATCCAACTTGGTAAACTTCTTACCCCAGACAGCGTGGCCCACAGATCTTCGATTCTGGGAATCGGGTACTTTTCCAGGGTGGCCACCAGATTCACAGTTACCTTGAAATCGCCACAAATCCTCACACGTCCATCCTTCTTCGCAAGAGGAACAATGGGTGCAGCCCAGGCTGACGTCTTGACTGGTACAATAATGCCCTCCCTTTCTAGACGTTGAAGCTCCTGTGCAACTCCATCTTTGAGTGCGAAAGGTAGTGGACGCAGCTTAAAAAACTTCGGTGGAGCATTTTCCGGAACATGAATACTGGCTTTGAGCCCCTTGAAAGTACCCAGCCGTTCCTCGAACACAGCAGAAAACTCTTGAACAAGACTTCTGACGTCAGAAAGAGAATGAACAGTTACCTCCACATCAGAGTTGAGGCCCAGCTCCCAAATCCAGTTGCGTCCAAGTAGTGTAGGCGACCCTTCTCCGGTGACGAACAATGGCAGCACGGCCTTCTTGTCGTGGAACTGCACGCTGACGTCCACCCTGCCTTCAACTTGGGTCAGTTCACCGGAATAGCTTCGCAGCAACATGCCGGATGGCACGACTCGTATCGCAGGCACTAGCACCTGCAGACGTTTCTTGGCGATGACAGAGACACTTGCGCCTGTGCAGAGTGGCTCGCCACACACATGCAGAGTGGCTTGCCACACACGTAGACGGTGACTGTGAACGGCGGTGACGGCGCAACGCTGTCAACTTGCCACATGTCGAAAACCTCGGAAGATGTGCCGTCGTCCTCACCGTTGTCATGGACGACATTCACTGGATGCGTCTCCGTTGCTGGGGGCGGGCACGCTTGCGCCAGAAAGCGGTGCCTGGTAGAACTTTTCCTGAGTGACTGGGCGTCCCTCTGCTTCGAATTGCACACGTTCGATAGATGTCCTCGCTTTCGGCAGTAGTTGCACGTAGTCTTGACGTGCTTGCAGCCGGACGCAAGGTGTCCGTCTCCGCAGCGGTAGCAGGTGACGCCCCCCGTAGGTGTCGTGACTCGATGCGTTTCGAACGCGGCGCTGCCGGAGCTGGTCTGGCAAATCTCCCTGGCGTCTCTCTTCGCCGCTTTCATGGCCACAGCGGTCTGCACAGCGTCCTCGAACGTCAAGTCTGGCCGTTCCAAAAATCTGGTCTGGATTGCAGTGCTGTTAATCCCGCAGACGACACGGTCCCTCAGCATGTTTTCAAGCTCAGCTCCTAAGCTGCAGTGCCCGAAGCTGCAGCGCGAGCACGCGAGTTGAAACGGAAGCGCTGGACGACGGCGGAAGGCTTCGGGCAGTAATGGTTGCCGAGGACAGAAAGAACCTCATTCAGAGACTTATCTTGAGGCTTGGCAGGCTTGACCAGGTCCCGAAGAAGAGCGTACGTCTGCGCACCGCAGCAACAGAAGAAGATGGCTTGCCTCTTGGCGCGACGACATCATTCGCCAAAAAAAAAGCTTCTAGACGCTCGACGTAGGACGACCAGGGGACCTATGTTGGACTTTCGAGAAACTAGAAACAGAAGTGACGTAGCGGCAGCAGGAGCGTAACCAAGCAACGGCGCGCACCGCGAAACCGCCCTCTTTGACGCCGTGACGACATGGCAAGATTGGCGTCTGTCACTCACTTGAGAGGCGTCAAGAGCCAACCGCCGAAGAGCGGAAGTAGCTACGCTGTCCCCCTGCCGTACCTACGCTTTCCCAGCGGTACCTATCTGGAGCCTTGTCCCTACGCAAGCGTCCGTTTCTCCGGCAACCGGAAAGGCATTTTCTGCTTTTAGTCAAGCGATGGCAGCCAATCCCTTGCCGCGGCGACCTTCACATCGGCTCTTTTTTAAAGAAACTTGTCAAACTAAAAAAATACACGTGTTCTATTGAAATGAACAACTGATTTTGTAGCGGTTCCAAAAAATATTAGATGAAGTAAACTCGCATAAAAGGTTAGAACAACATGCGGGATGCAAATGAGCACCTAGTTCAAATCACTGTCACTGATGACGGCTCAAGAAACGGGAGGATGTGGCCTGTCATGCTCGCTCTTCTTGCGTCGTGATTGGTTCCTCGGCGTTCTCATCGGCTAATGCGGCAATCTCATTGGCTGCGGAGCGATAATAAAAGGTTCCAGTCTTGCAGTACCCTGCGTTTCTTAAATTGTCAGTGACTATGGTTCAAACAACATAGACGACGGGAGCAGGCAACGTGTGACCGCGGCCCAGAGCGAGGAACTCGATACATTTATGTTCGAGAACCCCTCTCTGGTACGCGGTGCAACTGAGCTCAGCCCGGCCCTGTCCAGAAACTACAAAGTTCGTCTCTGGACCGAGCTAACCTCCCGGCTCAACTACCTCGGGCCTCCGAGGAAGGAGCCGGAAGCTTGGAAACGTTATTGGGCCGTGCGGGTGTCGAAGGCGCGGGCGCGGGCAGCCGAGCTGGCGAAACAGGCGAGGTAATTTGAGTCGTCTACTCATAGTGTGGACCAAGCTATTGAATTACTTCCTTTACTCGCAGGCAAACTGGGGGAGGAGGCGGCCGGGTGCGCTCACTGGCGTCATCATACGCACGTATTTTGACGCTGGTGGGCGAGGACTCGGCCCTGGGCGCTCCTGGGTTTTCCGTCCCCGCTTTTGAGGACGAGGCCGAGGTGAGTGCACGCTTGAACCTAACATACTATTGCACATGTAGCTGTTCAATCCCAATGGAGAATATCCATGCAGGGTTTTATTATCAGTGAGCTAAGATGTATACCGCAGTGAAATGTGATAAATATGAATGCAGGGGCGGATGCAGAAATTTCCTGAGGGGGGGGGGGGTCAGGTGTTGGTCAGCGTAACATGTGTTTAGGAACCCCCTCTCCCTCTCCCTTGTTTAATGCCCTAAATTTTACACATGCAGAAATCAAGAGGGGGGTCAGGACATCCGACCCCCCCTCTAAATCCGCCCCTGTGAATGTGAATATATGCATTAAAGGTGCTGGCACTTTTTATAATTCAGTGAATCGGAGGGCGGATTAATTCATCCACGTAAAGGCAAAACCTAAAACGAAAGCACTTACGACAAAAAACACTATATTTATTGCAGTAATACTGGAGTTTCTAAGGCCAAAACATCTGTAGCTGTTGTGTAGTCCTTTTTCTTCTTGCTTTTGTGGTTGTTGCAACCCTCAGTTGTATTGTGTGCACGCTGTCGTAAGATTCAATTTCTGTATCACAGAGGTACATTTTCACAAAAACAGGGGAAGTGCAACCTTTTGAGCTGCCACTAGACATATTTGGGGAGTCAATCCTAGACATGAATGGCACTACCTCTGAAACAGTCTAATTTTGTTTCCCCTGAGTGGAATGCAGCCTCAACAAACCCACTCTCAATATCTAGAAAATGCAGACAAGTCCTGTGTACTGACTAGGACTTACAAATTCCCTTCTAGGGGAGACCCACAGGCGCCCAGGCAGGTCACGGGCAGCAGGCAGCCGAGCCGGTGCCCTCCACCTCGCGGGGTGAGACCTCTCATGAAGACAACTAGGATTGTCTGATATGACAGAAGCATTCTTTGTTTCCTGGCAGATGTCAGGCCACCTGCAAGGCCCCGGGTGCGGTCCACGGCGCCTCGTGCCGTGTACCGGCACGAGGCGCCGTGGACCGCGGGAGCGGCACGACGAGGCTGCCATGCAGGCAGTCGCCAACCAGACTCGCCAGCTGCAGCAATTGAGACGAGGGACGCGCGGGACGTGGAGTTCCAAGGCCAGGTATTGGCTCAAACATAGAACTCCGTAACATGACTAAATAGGTACGAGTTTAATAAAGATGCCACTGTGAAAGTGGGACTGCAGCAGAGGGCAATGGAGATCTACAAAAGCATAATGCAAACCGAACTGTGACATATGTAAGGTTTTCACGCCCTCTGGGTGTCTAGAAATATGTTGTTGCGGCGCATTAAATGCCCCGTCTTTCCAGCTCCTGCGTTCAATCGAGACCCTCAGCCACCGCATGGAGGCTGTTGCGGAGTCGAACCAGGAGCAAGCTCGCGCCACACAAGCGGTGGCCCTGGAACTCCAAAACACGACCCGCGTGCTCATCGAGGTCGTTCTGCTGCTGACTGCCGAGAGAAGTCGAGCCCTGCGAAGACAAGACCTGCCAAGCCCTGCCCAGCCACCCCTCCAGCCCAGCCAAGTCCAGCCCCGCCCCGCCGAGCCCCGTCCCGCCGAGCCCCGCCCCGCCGAGCCCCGCCCCGCCGAGCCCCGCCCCGCCGAGCCCCGCCCCGCCGAGCCCCGCCCCGCCGAGCCCCGCCCCGCCGAGCCCAGCCCCGCCGAGCCCAGCCCCGCCGAGCCCAGCCCCGCCGAGCCCAGCCCCGCCGAGCCCAGCCCCGCCGAGCCCAGCCCCGCCGAGCCCAGCCCCGCCGAGCCCAGCCCCGCCGAGCCCAGCCCCGCCGAGCCCAGCACCGCTGAGTCCAGCCACATATAATTTAGTTTTATGGACGATTATTTTATGTTCCAAGTTGGTATTCATTTTTTCTTTTTTTGTTTTGTTCTCCAGGCGGAGACAAGAAATATGTTCTTTTGTGCCACTGGTATGTGGTGCGTGTTAATGGACAAGTTCCTACGCACACTGGGCTCGCCATACAGTGAATAATACTATGAGTGAGCCACTGCTTAAAGGAAGGCTGATGTTCTGCTGTCTAAACATCTTTACAACAATGTTGACATTACGGGAAAGTCCGTCCATGCTTTTCAGTTCATATTTTGTTTACAAAGAACTGTGCCTTCTGTATTTGTTTATTGGAGTCACTATAACCAGTGAAGCAAGTTAGTAATATGCTCTTGGCAACAGGCATGACAGATATATGCTAAAACTAGCCATTCCTTATGTTTGTGGGACAGCAATATGTAGTGTGTGCTTTTTCATCAAAGGTGCCAAGTGGCTTGTGCCATAGGAATTTTATACTTGTAGTTTTCTTCCACCTGAAACTAGCCTCTGGGTTTGCGATTTTTCTTATATCGCAATACAGTGGAGATTTGGGCCAGTTGGTTCATGGCAAACAAAAAAAGTGCTAAAAAAAACAGGGATGAGAGTGCGCCTTGTCCTGTTTCCCTTCGTCTGTGTCCCTGTGTTTTTTGTTTGTTTGTTTTCTTATATCATTGTTGATCTCAACATGCCTCAGCTATGGAATCTGTCATGCTTCCATGTGTGACAAAACACAAACGAAATAATAGTGTGCTGAATTAAGTCAAGTGTGAAATAATGTCTGTGATATATCCTTGATAATGAGAAAGAATTTATACGGTGTTTCTAGTCCATGTTCAATTTCACTTTAAAAAAAGCATTGCAACCTGTGTTTTCAAATGTGTGACCACAAACGAAATGGCACTGTGCTGAATTAAGTGAAGTGTGAAATAATGTCTGTGATATATCCTTGATAATGACAAAGAATGTATACGGTGTTTACTAGTCCATGCTCAATTTCACTTTAAAGAAAGCATTGCAACCTGTGTTTTCAAACATGTTTATTTTTCATGTTACGGCATTGTTATAAAAAAAAGAAAGCACTTTCAAAAACAAACTACTTGTTGTCTTCTTTATACATTCAAGTTGGCACGAATCCAATCTGCAATTATCGAGTAATACACCTGGCTCTGTGGTAGCCATAATAGATTGTAAAATGGAGCAGGGCAATAGAAGTGTGGAGAAAATGAGTCGATGTCCAAACCTGATACAAACAATATATTGTAGTAAAAAAAAAGAGAAAATAGGTCTCACCAGTAGCCTCATTGAGTTCTCAGTCTCTTGCAAAGGCTAGCTTCATAACCCTACAAAATGTTCTGCTATTGTCCAAAAAATTTGTGCACCCTGCTTACAAATGAAAAAAAGGCTCTATTAACATAACCGTGATGCACCGAATAGCTTTTCGGAGGCAGTACTACATGTCCGTAAAGGTAGCATGGTGGTTGTGCGACGAACTGCAAGGCGGAGTTGACACTGTGCAGCTTATGGACGGCCATGACTGTGGAACAACAAGTGCAGTACATACTGCCACGGGGAGGGCTTCTCTGGTGGCGAGGGCATCAGTTGAGGCGAGGACGACGAAGGGTTCGCTGTCGCCGGTGGCGTCCCTGGTGTGCGGGAGTGCCACCGTGGCGAGGACGATGAGGGGCTCCCTGCCGCCGACGGTGTCCCTGATGGGCGGGACTTCCGTTGTGGCGACGGACTCCTTGGCGCTGGTGGTGTCCCTGGTGGGCGGGACTGCCACCGTGGCTTGCGTGGGGCTCCGGAGCGGCACGGCTGTGGCAGGTTTGGAACTGGGCAACAAGGCGCTGCCTCAGAGCTCTCCCCCTGTCCGAGAGGCTGACCCGAGGGTGGGCAGGAGCCGGCCTCTCGTCATCCGCCGCTGACCCCTCAGAGCTCGACTCAGAACCGTCCGAGCTCGGCCCAGACTCCAACCCTGGCTCGTCAGGGTCAGAGTCTGGCTCCGGTTCTGGCTCATTCGATGAAAGGCAGATATTGTGGAGCACTGCACACGCCGATATAATGACGGTGGCTGTTGTGGGATGATAAAACAGAGCCCGGTGCCTTTGCAGACACCGGAATCTGCTCTTCAACAGCCCAATGCAGCGCTCCACAACGGACCTCATCGAAGAATGTGCCTTATTAAACCGGCCGCATGCGGTGGAGGTCGCGTGGAATCCAGGGACAGGGGTGATGAGCCAAGGCTCCAAGGCATAGCCGCTGTCACCTGCACATTCAGAGAAGGAAATGTATGATATTAATGCTGTTCTCTTTAATAGAATACTTCAACGAAATTTGAAATATACCCGTCATGTTCAGAAATAGGCTGAACATGATCCACAATACCCGTAAATGACAATCATACATTTCTCTTTTGAGCCTTATGGCTATATTTTTCATTATAAACAGGCCAGACTGGCAAGCGCTCGGAGAGCAGCCACCAGAGAGCACGTCACATCCGGTGCAATTGTGATGTAGTTTCTCTTGGGATGAGCAAAGTTGCGGCGAGGCAGACATCGTCAGGATGCCCTAGCTGTTCAAGCAACAAAAGCGGTCGAAGCATGCCAGCGATCAGGCCACCGCAACAAACCCCAAAGCTGCTTTTGTGTAATTTTGAGTGACAAATTAATATTCTATAATCTTGCTACACACAAAAGAGAGTCCCGTTGAGTGTGGAGTTGCTCCCTCCCCTTGTCTGTTCTGCTGGCCGTTGAGCTGTCGAGATGACGTCAGGTTCAAAGCATGTATGGTTCTAAGCGAGACAGTTATCGGTCACTACCTGTCAAGGTTCCTAGACATCTAGAAGGTGCTCTTTCCTAATCGCCTAATTTTTTTTTAATGCCTTTTTGTCTTTTTTTTAACAAGATATTGGCGTGTCCGATGTGATACTGCTCTTCTGAATACGTATAGACCAAAGAATAAGCACCGAAATTTTGTTGTAGTGTCCCTTTAAAATTGTTGACAACTAAGCAAAGAAAGGCGCATGTTTGCAACCTTTCCCCCAGTACTTGACAGCTGCGTCAGAGTGTTTCCAAGGAGACGTGTCACAGGTATGGCCAGAGCGCATGCCAGTTATCTATGTTCGCAACAGTATGTGTGATATTGTAGCTTATAAGTGGTGCAGAGCCATCATGTACAGTACCAACAACTGGAGTATGCTTACCGAGCAGATACCTGCGTCGTCTACCAGCCGGCCTTGCTCGAAGTTGCTCCGGAGCCACGAGTGGCGCCACACGAAGGAGTCGTGCACCGACCCAGGATACCGTGGGTCGATGCTCATGACCCGGCAGTCGGCGTCACACACCTGCAATAGAGAGACATGTGTCGACATTATTTCAACTGAATCCACAGTTCATTGCACTCACGGTCATGGGGCCCTGTCAAACACGATTTAAATGCTGACCAACACACCACCATACATTACGTGGTTTACAAACTTAAAACATTAAAACAACGCAAAAAACGATGGACTGGATGAAGGAGGATATAGACAGAGCGCTGAGCGCAAAAAAACAAAAACAAAAAAAAAACAACGACGAACTGCATGGAGAAGGACACAGACAGAGCGCTGTCAGTGTTACAAAGATTAAAATTATATGATAAATAGCCACTACCTTTGATCCACGCAATAGTTTAGGCAAATTTGCTTTTTTCTTCAAAGGAGAGTTTACACTTTATCATGCAGGACACAAACTATTGCTTAAAAGCTTAACACGACATGAAAACAACCCTCCCCCCGTCCGTCGAACAAAAGCTTGTGCGGAGGATGAACAACCACTAACAACCCATAACTTTAATTTATAAAATGGCATATCCACACCGCATTAGCGTTACGCTCTTTTTCAAACCCATTCAGAACGGGCATTGACCTATAGCTAAAAGCGCGAGCTAGCTGCTTTGGATAAAGCCCCGGCGGCTGCACGAGCGCTCGTGCAGCGAGTGCTCCAGTCAGGCCGTTCGCGCTCGCACAGTCTTTTCAGTTAGTTCATGCTAAGGTGAGACGTAGTATATATGCGATCGTACTTACCACCATCACGTTGAGAGCGTAGTATTGCTTGCGGCACCAATACGCCGCCTTCGTGATGGTGGGGTCGTT